CAACCATAAGCTTACCACTGGCACGAAGCTGATGGTGCACAAATCCATGGTGCTGTCGCTTCTTCTATAGGGCAGTGAAAGGTGGACGATGTACCGTCGATATGTGCGATATCTCGATCGGTTCATTCAGCAGTGTTTGCGACGGATTTTACGCATGGGTTGGGGCGACAGAGTTGCTGACTCGGAAGTGTTGCGACAAAGTGGAATGTATGCAGTGGACTGCATACTTTTACTGAGACTCCTGAGGTGGCTCGGTCATGTGAGCCGTATGGATTCAACGCGGATACCGAAGCAACTGTTATATGGTCAGCTGAGTACTGTGAAACGGCATGTGGGGCAACCAAATTTGCGTTACCATGACATGATCAAAGTGAGCCTCTCACGTTCTAATCTTGATTGCAGGTCATGGGAATCGAAGGCGGTTTATCGTCGTGCATGGCGCGATCCAATCATGAAGGCAGTTGCCGAAGTGCGGGAGAAAGTTCTCATGCATGCAGAGAAGAAGCGGCAAATGCGGAAGCGGCAAGCACTGATGGGTGGTACTCCATCGACATCTTGCGCATGATGCTGTAGCACATGCGGTCGTGAGTGCCTGAGTCAGGCATGCCTAGTGAACCATGAGCGAGGCCACCTGGGACCACTACCGAAGCGACGACGGGTCCTGCAGAGAACGGATGCAGAACCGGCGCAGCTTTTGTAGGCGCGCTGCATTCGATTTATTAACCGCGTGCTCGCATGCTAAGTCTATTTATTTCAGGTGGTGGGTTTGCAATGTTGTCCTAATGCTTTTCTTTCTCATATAAATGTCTACCTGTACTCTCTTCTATAAACATGCACACGCCGCTTAAGCCAATTGTAGTTAATTACGATAACATTTTCGTGTTTGTGGGTTTTCTGTAAAACATAGTTGCTGACTTCGTGGACTTATCTCTGGTTCTTTTGCAAACAACTTATTTCATATGCTCATTAATTTGAGATTTATGTCACCGTTTCCTTATGCATTAGTCGATTTATTTTATTCGTTATCTTTCTCTCAAGTGATTGGCTGTTGCTTGGTATCCACGGTGTGGTTGCGCTTGATGTGCATATTGACAAGCTGCCTACCTGTCTAATACCTACTACCTCGTTCATACTAGCTCTAGGAGACAGTTGGTCGTTGCTAGAGGGAACTGGGTGCACGGTCTTTGTGGCTGTGTTAGGATCAAAGTGGTTCCATGCATTCAGTGTGGAGCGGACTACGGTCCAGCCACTGCCTTGTGTGCGCTTGTTTCTCAATTAGATCGTGCATGTTTTCGCCTGTGAAGGAGTGTGAGCCGGTTCTGTTGATGAAACGTGGCTCCTATCCACCTGCCTCCCGGTGTTATTCCTTCGGGTTTGCAATGGATATGGGGTGAATGCTTGGAGCTGTGGGTGGTGCAGCGCAAACCACCCATGGTCCCTCTGTAGGCGTAGGCGTCCTGTGGCTGGCCACGGTGACATGCAAATCCGAAACCGGATGCCGCCTCCGATATATATATATATATATATATATATATATATATATATAACTACACAAGTGGTTTTCTGGTAGGAGTCACTGGTGTAGTTCGGCCTTGGCCTCCTTGCAACTACGATAGATGAGAACACTCAGTGAGCAAAATTTCATTCGCCTCTCCCTTAGCGTTTTCCAGTCCTTCCGATGGAAGTTTGGATTTAATTGTTGCGTGTGCAGTAACTGATTTTGAGTTCGGCGTAAAGCCTACCTGAATCACTTTTGCTTCGCCCAATCTAGTTAGGGTATATAACTTGAGCCAAATACTTGTTTGCAAACAAAGTACAAAATATAACCATAAGCATGGAATATAAGTTTAGCATTAGAGGATTTGGCGTGGTATTATAATTTTGTTTGTTTGTTTGGAAAAGCACTGTATGCGTCAACTGAATCAGTGACAAATTACTGATGATATGGCCTGTTAACTTACAATATACGTTGACAGAATCAGTTATAGAAGGATTTGGGTGCATTTGCGAATTTGTCTGCAGTGTCAGTTTTGGTCGGACGCTTTTTAAGTTTAGCAGAAAAGCGTGAAAGCGAGCGTACCATGAAAAATGACCCAACAAACTATAAACGGAATTCTCTGAACTGACAAGTTTCTACGGTGATCCAATTCTAACACTATCATCTAATCTAATCTTGTACAAGTAGGTTTGATAATTAAGGGTTTTTGTGGGCCTTTAGCTCGGAAAGGTAAATTTAAGAAATTTGAGATAAAACCATTGTAAAACAACCACGGAATGGCATTGGGACCTCAAATTTTCACTAATTGCACTTTAAGGTTTTCCATATCACTCAGTGAGGCACATTCGGTCGAGATCATTCTAACCTGTTCCCTTTCTCGTTTGCACATTAGTGGCAACGTGTGTTATGTTTTGACACAGGTGGCAGCTAACAAAGTAACAACAGCGTTTTCCTTCAAAAGTCAGGGATATCGCCAGAGCGCCATTGTCGATCACCTAAATAGCTGAATCTAATATACCTAGACTCTACTCTCGCCTGAATTCTGAAACAATACCTCGATCACAGCAACATATGATAATGTGATGCGACTGTTTTGTGTCATCAGTAGTTACCAACCTGCCCATTTTCAGTGATTCGCTAGTGGTTCGGAGTATTTCAGGGTTACACAAATAACTTTGCCGAGCAAAAATAAAATCAATTTAAAGTAGAAGGGAATCGAAAGGAGATGTGAGAGGCTCCCTATCCTAAGCAATTAACTAGTGGAACTTAGCTGACTTTCCGGTATCCAAATGTAATAAATGGTCATTGTTTAACTCCTACTGTAGTCGCACAAAGGATGAAACTAACTTTTTGCAATCGTCCTCTCGGAAACCTATTTAGGCAAGCTTAGAAAACTTTACTTTCAATGTAACGGAATCAGTAATCCTGCAATAAAGTGATGGGAGGCTGACTTGAGCCACTTAAGAGCTGTGTTTTTATTTTAGAATCCACCCAACACATAGAAATATGAATAACTAGTGCTCTCTTCCATATCGACCACCTTTGATTGTCTGAACCTAGAAGATTGCAGTAAGCGTCACGCAGTGGACGATGCAAATTTTCATGCATCACTTGATTACAAGTTATAATTAATTCGCGTCATCTGTGTCCGTTCGTTTTATATGATGGTTGCGAGTCTATTTTCTGTGCAAATGAATGGCGTAGAACATTGTGTTGCGTGTCAAGGTTTCACGGTAGTTTTATAGCATTCAACCCAGCGAAGATTAAGAGCGAAGCTTCGCAGTTGTGCTACGCAACACGGAGGCAATTTAAGCGTCGATTTTAGGCTATTGTCTATCAGCAGTCAGTGAGAATGGCAATCTAGACAGTAAACTGAATGTATGGCCTCATCGACAATCCGAGTTTGACACACTGACCCGAACATGTCTTAGGAATACATTTTACCCGACAAGCTATATAGAAAAATTATGCATTAAGTGGTGCTACGTAAGAATTCTAAGGGTGTCCTGCACGTCCTATCACGTATGCTGGAGAACTTTGTTTAAGAAAGCAGACAAAATAGCGTTTTCTTAGGCAATAATGACATGCGCAGCTTTGCTCCACCCAGCCGACGATTACTGATGCTGATTAACAATCTCCAAAGTATGTAAAGGTATCAACGTATTTGTTCTGTCACCTAGCTTTTACCTAATCGACCTAGAAATGACCCCCAGTGGATGGCTTTGTAAGCGTCACTAGATAGTAACGGGCGAACTTCGCATTATCATATGATCGGCAGTTACAAGTATTTTTCTGGAAAGCTATGATAGTTGTACTTACGTTACCTAGTCAGCCTTTTGCAAGCGCCGACGAAGAAGGTTCTTAACCAAAACCCATAAAGCGACCAATTCCACTTCTCATCCACTGTGCATTGTGTTTCTTAAGCACAGACTCTCTACCGCCTCCGAGATCATATGCTTGCTTTTGCGCGGCCGATTGTCGTCTGCTCAGTGAACATCCCACATCAAAACTTTACCAAATTGCAAACAAAGCTGCTTTGGTCTAAAATAATGGTGGGTAAATCTACAACTTTGCTTTAAAGGGTTGCGGTACTTCCAAGCAACATGCATATGTTGTAGAGCTGTTAAACTGGAATTTGACCACAAGCGATATTCCTATAATAGGGCACTATTTGTTACCGGATAATATTTGCCTTTTCCCAAACAAAAAGACCACTTCGAGCTCCATTTGGGCTGCATTACAAAGTGAAAGTGAATAAAGCTGGGTCAAATTCAGTGCTTTTGGCGTTTGTCGTCCAAATTCATGATCTATCAGTTATGGACACAAAGTACCGTTTTTTAACAGTAAATTGCCGTATTTGCTTATAAGCTGAAGTTTTACATTTCTGGAGTGCCACTTTCATTCCTATGTAAAGAATGTCGGTTTTAGTTCAAAGGAGAATTTGCTTAAACTTTGGAGGGTAAAGACTGCTTTGTACTGGTTAGTGATAGAATTTTCTTAGCGGACATTTTAAGCCAGAAAACGTTGGTTAAGCTTAAGTCTTGGAAGCAGTCACGCAAATAAGGTCCAAAAAGTTAATTTCCTCTCATTGGTTTCCTTCAGTGATTAATGCGATATTTTACCGCATTACTCATCCTTCCTAAAAGCGATGGACAAATAACTCTTTCCCGGGAAGATCAATATCACACGATTATTAATCAAACTAAAGGTTTGTAATAAATCGGTACCTGTAGCTGGAGTTGGATGGTAGATTTTGTGTGGTTGTAAAAGCTGAGCAATTTTGTTGCAGTGACCGCAATTCCAAATATTATTTTGCGTTAGGTGTCGGATAAAATCCTGTCAAATACCAACTAGATTCCACTGGCTTAAGTCAAGTGGTTTATACTTAATGTGCCTTGGCTGTCTACTTGGCCATGATTTCGTGACAAAGTGGGCCAGGACACACGGTCACAATGAAAGCATTGATTTTATTGATAGTCCGTCCTTCAAACTCGTGCCCACTATACGAACGTGGCCCACAGGGTAACAGGTGCAGTGACATTCCCGTGGATCTTAGCGTAAACGGGAAGTTTGGATTATCTGCAACGTTTATCCCATCAAACTGTTATCTACTGATTTTGTTTACACGCAAGCCAATTGGAAAATAACCATCTATGTGATGTCTGGAAGGAGTTGGGACTAAAGGTAAGCAACTCAACCTGTCTCCAGGAAACGCTGATGCCTAATATGTTCCGATGTGGATTGTAAGCATGTATTGGAGTTATTGATAACAACGGATAAAAATGAATGCTACATGTCACCTGTCGGTTGTTTAAATTGAGGTTGACCAACTGGTGCAGCGTGATTTGCTAAAAAAGCCTAGTTGACGGAAAGCGATCTAAGAAAACAGTTGTTTAGTTCCCGTACTGATATAAGGAATCGTCAGTGATCTCGCACGTTTGTATCAAATTGCAAGTCAAAATAACAGCTTTACTGAAACATGGTCAAGTTACTAGGGGGTGATGAAACTGTGAGGTTATTATGTATATAATATTTATGCAAGTTTGGAAACAGACAAAGGTGCCATCCGAATCATGATGGTAGCTGAACAAGATCATGTGCAACGAGGAGAGATAGAGAGTAACACGTTAGAAAACATTTCTGTTTCACACAAGCCGCTTTGATTTTTGTTTTTTAGTTCCGTGTTTTGTTCAACATTAAAATTTACCTGATAAAGTGATCGTAGGACAGCAATGACGCCGTTGTTACCTATTGCGGGCCATATCCTACAAGACTTCCAAGCATTGGGAATCCGCTTCACGTGGCCCCCAGCCTGGGAGACGCATGGATCCGACTGACGCTAGATACGAAATTAGAATCTTTATGCTCCTTTTTTAGGTCATCGGTTGGCTGCCGCGGATCTTTTTCCATTCTCGTCCAGGAAGTGCAAATAATGTGAAACGTGGAAAGCGGTGGGCCGGCATGCGCAGTACGTGACCGAGCCAACGCAAGCGGTGCAGGATTATTATGCTCTGGAGACAAGGACTGTCCGCTCCCATGAAACTGCTTCCAACTTCCGCTTTGCACGTATGGTGCTGCCACCATACGCGAGCAATCGAACGCAAGCAGCCGTTATCGAAAGTAGACAGTCGTCTCAAAATTTACGATCGAACAGATCCGGTCTCGCAACAGTACTATAGGACAGCATGAACTGTTGCATTATACGTTCGGCTTTTGGGCTTGAGACTAGCATCGCAACGACGCTACAAGAGTCTCAGGTTAGTAAATGCAAGGCAGCCATGGCAATTCGATGGGAAATTTCATCACTAATACCGCCAACAGCAGTAATGCAACTCCCGAGGCAAAGCTGTTAACGAGCTCCAGGCTGACACCCGAAATGTTGAGCGTAGGCATAGACGATTGCGAATCCTGGAGCAAACTTTCCACTTGGATGGAGCAAAATAAAAATCATATGTGGATGCCTCTATTGCTTAGCGGTTCAGAATGCTTTGAACAATCTGCGAGTCGTCCGCGAGCAAAGCGATGTTATAAGCATAGTCCGGGTCCAGGACCCTGATGGCATTATGTCTGTTAGCAGACTTTTGCAAATATATATATATATATATATACCAGGACCCTGCTTCTGAGTAGAAGCTCAAGCATGCTGCTCTGGGATCCTTCCAGTGCGCGAGGTAGGACATCCTCGATGATAAATTTGAGCAGAAATGGTGAGATGGGACAATGTTGGCTCACTCCACTGGTAACAGGAAACGAAGAAGAAAGTCTGCCATAAGCTCTATCTTTGCCAAAGGTGTGATTATACAGCTCTTTCAAGAGTTTGACAGACTTGTCGGGAACGCCGTTCCGTAGCAGACAGTTCCACAGTGACGACCTATCTAATGAGTCAAAAGCGGCTCGGATATCTAAAACACCACCATTGAGGGGCTTCGGTGGACATGACAATGTTAAAGAATTTGACGTAACCTGCAAATGTGGTCAATGCAACCACGGAGAGAACGAAAGCCAGCCTGTTCCCCACGACGCAAACTCTAGCGGGTAACTGAGAGCCTACGCAGGAGAATGAACACAGAAAGCTTGAAGGCGACAGAGATAAGTGAGATTCCTCGGCAGTTGGTGCATTCGCTATGAGTGCCCTTCTTGTGGATCGGAACCACAACAGATTCTCTCTCATGAGTTAGGAATCGTCTCATCGCTCCATACTTTTTGTACAGTGATAAATTTCGGTGACAACTTAGTTCCTCCAATTTTGAATAAGAACGCAGGAAGATTGTCAAGCCCAGGAGCTTTGTGGTATTTCAGAGTCTGGATTTCTTTTCGTATTTCTGCTTCAGTGGGAGGATCGATGCAGACTGACCAAGGATCACCTGATGGAAGTGGATGTGTAACCGGAGGTTGGGTTGGGCGGTGAAACTGAAGATAAAATTGCTCTGCCCAGCTATCCATGCGTCTTCGTAGATTGGCGATTTTTGTACCGTCTGACTCATAGATGATCTGACTGATGGCCTGAACTTTGCGTCCGTTGGATCTCATGAGATAAAACAATCTGCGGCTGTTACCAGTACAGACAGCATTTTCCATCTCCTTGGCCTGTTTAGACCACCAGGATGCACCGTCACGGCGAAGACTGGCTTTCATTAGTCTGGAAATACTGTAGGATACATTACATCCTTTTGTTGATTTTCTAGGTTCATAACTACGATTAGCAATGGTACCTAGATATTAATTTTGTGTATTCACAAAGTAAATCTGTTGACAAATAAAAATAGGTTTGAAACGGTCAAGCAACTACCGTCAAATGCACTAATTTTACTTCGTTCACCACTGCACAACTCACCAGGCGAAAGAAATGAGACGGTGACGTGAGTCCAATTGACTTCCATGTTTCACAACATCACCAGCAGGGCCCGATGGTGATATGATGAACATATGCCGATGACTTATACTTTTATGGAAGTCACTGGGCGACGCGTTGGCGCTACTATCGTTGGAACCAGGTATTCCAGTTTAGGTAGATCTAACAACTACATCCTCTGTCTGGAACAAATTGCTACTCTATCTTTGCATCTATCATCCACTGTCGCCTGCATACAAAATTGAACGCAGTGAGTAGCATTACTGAACGGTTCTGATGTGCGCTCAATGTTTCTGATGATATAAGTCCTCCCGGAGTGACAGTGACGATGTGGGGTCCAGCATTCGGCATGGTTTTCAACTCCAAGAAACCTGAAGATCCAAGAACTGCAGATAAACCATTACTCCGGACATGCACTATAACATCGGGATCTTTTAAACAATTTACTCTCATTTCAAGTGATTGCGGCTTATTGTCATCGCTATTTAGAAATACCTTGGATTTCTTATTTGTCACTGCCATATTTATCGGCGAGCCCACGTAGTGGTGTTCCTGGACATCCTAGACATCAAATGTGCCTTAGATTGATGTAAACAGATTAACTGATTCAACTGTCCAGGAGAGCTATCAGTCTTCACTGGGATATGCACTCAGTTGCAAACCACCGCAAGGCGTGGAGCAACACTGGACTTGTATACGGAAAGCGATGACCATTTCTGGACAGTCATGTTGCGGTCTAACTCGACGCCCTCTGAAACCTTAGATCTCTGCTCGTTCGCTGGAGCTGTTCGAACGCCGCAAATATTTCTGTCCGGGAGAAAGTAAGAATTGCCTTGGAAATTCCCTATTTTAGCGATTAATCGATTATTAACGATTATCGCATCGATTTCGAACGTTCCTGAATGTTCTTCTTCTACACGTGATCAAAATCCACCTGACCTCTCGGGAAAAGATATGGGGAACCACTAACCTTGGCAGCTGACCTTCCAATTCTAGAAGTCGAAGGTCAGTAGAGACCTATAAATACAGCCAGGGTCCTCAGTCGTTGTACAGTGTTCGTTGGCTGCGATTAATACGTTATTTGTCAGGGTCATTGGCGTTCTGCTTTTTTCCTTCGGTTGGGCTAGAAGTTTTGCGGAGCAGTGAATTGTTATTTTTGGAGTTGCGTCTAGTGAGAAGATTATAACAAATGGCGACGGAGAAAAGTGGAAATGTGATGAATTTTTCTGCCGAACAATTTCAAAAGCTGCTTTTTCAACAGCAAGCTCAAATGGAGTCGCAAATGAAAATGATTGAAAATCTGACAAAATGCTTGAGTTTGCAGACAACTGGAGCAGCGACGCGGGACACGCAGGCGAGTTCTGTTGATCTTCTCACGAACGCCATCACTGAATTCCATTATGATGCGGATTCTGGAAGCACTTTCGAAGCGTGGTTCAAGCGCTGGGAAGACATGTTCCAGACGGACTTCATTCGTCAGGACGACTCCTGGAAAGTGCGATTGCTACTCCGCAAGCTCGGAATAAGTGAACATTCAAGGTTCATAGACCACATTTTGCCCAAACAGCCGAAGGATCTGACATTTGACGAAGCAGTGTCGCAGTTGAAGGAAATTTTTGGTGAGTCGGTGTCCTTGTTTAGTATTCGCTATCAATGCCTAAAAATTGTCAAACAGGAATCTGACGATTTTGGGGCCTTAGCAGACATGATTAACCGTGAGTGTGAACGATTCAAACTACGCTCTTTAACGGACGATCAGTTTAAGTGTCTCATTTTCGTCAGTGCTCTACAATCGCCCAGTGATGCTGAGATTCGCACGCGGCTTTTAGCTAAGCTAGAGCAGGACCCTGATCTGACACTGAAGGCCCTCGTTAGCGAATGCAAACGACTGCTCACTCTAAAACACGACACTGCCATGGTCGAACGCAATGGTCTAGCATCACCAGATACCGTGCAACTTGTGAAAAAGCCAGGACCGCTAACGCAAGCAAATCCTTCAAGAGGCCTACGAAGAAACCGCCCACAGCATGCTGGTCATGCGGCGAATGGCATTTCGCTCGCTTTTGTCCCTTCAAACATCATATTTGTCGGACGTGCCATAAGCGTGGGCATAAGGAGGAATGCTGCAGTCAAGTCCGGTCGAAGAAAGTGCAGAAGTCTTATCGAAAGGTTAATTCTAGAAGGGGCGGCGCTGAGTCTCTCTCCATAGTTGCCGCATTCCAAAGCGAGTGTAAACCGAGACGACGATTCATCACTGTATTAATCAATGGTATCCCAACGAAACTGCAATTTGACACGGCCTCAGACATCACAATCATTTCCAGGCGCACAT